AAGAATCACCTTCTCTGGAGCATGTTCTCCTTAACCAACTCAAATGATCTCTCGGTAGTTTTGATTGAACCCCACGTTCTTTTAAAGAGAATTGTAATTCATATAGGAATTACGTTAAATATGCCGTTACATCTCGACCTGTCGGGCTGGAAAACGAATTTGGAAATGGGAGGTTTTACACACGAGAGTAATTGAACGACACAATAGCACCTCAGCTTGCTATCTAGGGTAGAGAAGAATATTCAGAAATTTAGATTAAATTTACACTTGACAGGACCAATAGCCTCAATAGTAAAGGTCGGCATCTCTTCTTACTTGCACCAGCTTTTGTTTGTAGATAAGGCTTAGTTTAGCAACATCGGTAACATATATTTCACCTCACTCCTATGTTAACTCTCGGCTTCATTTTCAATTCGTAAATATGACTGTAGATCCTTCTGAAAAGGAAGAAATTAATAACAGTCACATCTTGAAAGTAAGAGAAGGCATGTCTAATTAAAAGTTTGGATGCAACCTCCTAAATTCAAGTCTCTTTTAGCTTAGCTTAAAAACTTCACCACCATGTGAGGTTTGCATTTTGCCAGCGAAGCACAGCACATAAAAACTGTGGAAAACTCAAGATTACTTTTCCATGTATCAACACCAGATCAGGCTGCACGCAAGCGTTATCCTCTTTAAGCCCACTTTGTTTGTTTAAACGGCTCTTCAACTTCGTAATCACTTTAAAAGACCTGGATTATGAGGCGCCATGCACCGTTCATTGCGGGCTAATGGAAGTTTGTGCCCTCTTTTGATTGATATTTGGTAGAGCTGGAAACATGATGCCCAGAAAAATCTGTTGGAGTTGCAACTGCAAGTACATTCAATGCCAAATACAACTGTACATACCAGTGTATTTCCATGATGAAGAGGAATGAGGCAAAACAAATCCATCCCAGATGCACTGATTTCTTTGAAAGACCGATTAGCCTTCGTTATGGAGTTCATCAGCGGCGGCCACCCCATATACTGGAAATAACGAAATACTGAAAAACTGTAGATTTTCGCAACAGAAGTTGCTGCAGGCTTGTTCTTCCTTCATTCTGATGGCAACATGTACCGGTAAGCATATCACACTTCAAGGATTCACTGCTATCCAGTACAGTGCTATTTGGACTTGTTTAAAAGAGTTTAGAGAAACTTCTTAAACAACAAATGCATATGCAGGTGATAAATGCCTTTACAAGGTGCATTTCTCAATGAGAGACAGGTTGACGAAATGAGCCTGATGTTTAAAGATTGATCAAAATCAAGTTCTTTGTTTGAGGGATCACATAAGTGCTCTAAAAGTGAGAAATGGAGTGAATATGTCTTAACATGAGCACTCTTTAAGTTTTTTGATCTTATTTAGAGATATTCCAAACCCATAATATGGCAGTAGATCTTACTACTCACTGATTACGTGGAGAAATCCTCACCTCGTACAGATATTTATCACTTTAAACCTTTTTATGGACTTTTTGGGACCTACAAGTTCAGGGAAACTGGTGACACTGGAGCGCCACGTAGGTGATTGTTGACAAAGTTGGTGAAGTGAATGCTGGGGTCTCTTTTGGAATGCTTATACAAAATATTCATTGTTTTTGTAAATCCCTTCTATATACAGATCATTTACACAAACCATTTAGGACCTAACTCTAAATGCTCTCATGAGCTTGTTCAAATTGCAGCTTATCTAGCATGGTAGATTAATTGTGATCCGATTAGACACAACCACGACAACCTAGTGCCAAAATTTGTGTCCACCATCTGATAACATCTTCATGCACTCGCGTTCTCCATGCAGCAACAACATTTGGAATTCACTCCGCACTCCGATCCCAGAAATTTAGATAATCTCAGCACTACGTTGGGAGAGAACTGTAAACATTAGCTGTTGAGGTGACTGAGACATTTTTACCTTGGAAGTGGGTGCATCCTCTCACCCCAAAGCAGCAACACTCCATCCAAATGTGAAGCTCATGGAAAGTGCTAACAACAATGAGTTCTCTTTAGTTTAGGTATTGTGTCCTCATTTTTTCACGTGTTTTTAGTTGACAAATACATCCCATCTTATTTGAGTGGATGCAACTTCATTTAGCGTGTAGTGAACAGGTAGGAAACATATCGCAAAATGAATATTCTGTGAGGGGAAAAATTGTGCATTTTAGTATTTAAGTAAAATGCGCATATGGTGGCTTGTGTCTGGGATTTCGCATTTTTCATTCTTTGTACTAACAGAATAAACTGAGACACTTTTAAGGGAACGACTATTGTCATCCTCTTTGTAGGTAACTGCGCTAGCCTGTCAATTTATTCTAGAGTCGGATGACATTTAATGCGTGTGACAGTGGTTACAAATTAGTTTTTTATGCATCGTGATGGTTGTGCCCTAGCGGAATGCAACAAATTGAATCGAATTTCAGTATATCAGCCGTGAATAGACGACGTTTTGATTTTGTCTTTAAATGTTATTTCCTTGACTTATGAAGACTTAAAACTGGACAACATACTTCTCGACTTTGAAGTTCATTTAAACTTGGCCCATTTGGGACCGTGCAAAGTAATACCCTTGATCCAGCATCATCTGAAGTGTTTCAAATTAGCCATTTTCTGGAATCCTCCATTTTGACTTAAATTGCGCGCAATTTATTAATTTTATTGGCCTCGGTTATTAAAAATTATGCTTGGGCAATCACTTTGTACTTTGCCAAGCCCTTGCTGGAAGCGAATAAATTGAGCCCTAAGTGATTGTCTTAAACAATTGTGGAGGCATTGAAGACAACTTATCCCTTTATCTCTTCATTATTTGAAACAAGCAATTTCGCCATAAGGCATTAGCCCAGGATTTAAAAGAATTTGCTGCATTAACACAAAAATTTCAAAAAACATTCAGATGCAAATTTTTGCTCATCGCATGCTCATTTCTAGTGGGTGAATGTTACAGAACCGCGTTTACCTTTGTTTGGGTAATTTAGCAACATCCACACGGAGCATCCGCAAAATGGTATTGTCTCGGCGTCTTCGGTTACGAAATGCTCGCGATGCAATGCTTCCTTCGTCAGGTCACACGGCTGTCAAACATCAAATGTATAAGAGCTTGACAGTCACAGATGATGTCAAAAGGACATGTTTTGGCCATTCTGCTTCTCTTAAAATAGTAATGGCCCAAGCAGCATGGAATGAATAGTATGGCAGTACTGCTATGCTGGTGCGCTTAAAATATAACATTGGGATGGTTCTTGGAATTCGTTGTCTTTTAGCTTAATCACTATATTTTATTATGCTCTTCGACGGTGCAAGATGCAATCAAGCTCACCTTTCCCATCGACTGTTGTTGATCGCTTAGCCGAGTAGGTTTTCCTTTGGATCTAAATAACTTCATTGAATAATTGGAGAATGTGGACCTTTTTGAAAAATTTTGAGACGATTCGGGATTTATCTGAGCAAACCTTAGGAGCTTTCAAGCTTTGAGAAGGCCATAGAACCTCAGCCATCCTATCAACTTTGAGTCTTCTTGACTGCATGTTGCTGAAATCCACAAATTCGTGCTAGTGTCTAGCCTTACCATCAACGACTCACCATCTATCGAATAACACTGTCATTTTAGTTTTTACTAGATTATGTGGTAAAGTAATACATTTATCTCTAAGAATTTAGAACTTGGCAAAATGCTATTCTTTAGATTCCAAATCATTTTCAGAAGAGTTTAATGCGTAACATCCTGCCGCTTTATCTATATAGGTCATTAAATTTATTTTTCTGAGCTTAATCTCTAATATTTTTCCCAAATACACAAACTTACAGTGTATGTGAAATAATTTAGGTAAACATTCAAGTCAGTCTTGAATGCTTAAATGGCCATCTTCACCGTGGAACGTGCAAATGTCGCAAATCAGTGAGGTATAATCCTTTGTGAGTATCTCTTCAATGTGTTGATTTAAGAATAAAATCTCTTTATTGTTCACAGTCACCTCTTCTCACGAATGGGGATGGAATTTGCTGTGCCTGGGCTGGGTGCTTCATGATACTGACATAAAGCTATTATGTCTCCAGCCTGAGTTTCTGTAGGAAGTATCAAGTAAATTTGAGTTTAAGAGTTAAAAGGTTTTCTGTTTTTGCGTTTTCTGTTATCCCGATTTGCAATTCTATGATGCATATTTTGGCACTAGCCGATGTAGAAGAAAAGCGCACAAACTACTTTGAAGGACATTTTATAATGCTTAAATTGATTCTACTGCAATAATAGCAATGATATAAGGCAGAACTATTTTGCGGTTGTAAATTCCAGGCACCATCGATAAAATACATTTTCTACTCTCTGTACATATGCGATGTGAAATCGCAGGGCTTTGAAGCTTCCCTGAAGCTAAGAAGTTTAATTTTGGGAAAAAACATGTATTGTTGACATTCAGAAGGGGTTGAAAGGTTTCTGACATGGCTCGGAGGCCATGCCAACGAGCAGAAGTACAATTACTGACCCTTTGGTGCCCAGGTAACCAAAACGAGGAGGTAAGCAAGTAACTAAAGTGTTATGGTGTCATTTTGGGGTATTATAACGTATGTTTACTCATGAGTACGGTAGTCGGAAATGAAACAAAGTATAAGATCACATTCTTTGCGGATCACCTCTCAGGAACAAAGTCCTTCACCAAAATAAGTACAAAATTAGTAAAATGTCACTCTTAAGGGTCAATTTAATCGTCATATTTTACTGTAGGAACAAATTACAACGTTTATTTTGGCCTGGCCACCATTTCCTGCAAATGAAGAAGATCTCTTCCAAGCCATTCCCGAGGTGATTCCTTGCTTCTCGCGTAACCTATCAAAAGCGGTCCTCATCATTTGCTGACCTAAGAGTACAATTGTTTATTTACTTCAAGTTTCTGCTATCTTCAACGGTACCCCACGTTACGAGCGATAATGTGTGTATTCAGTGGTTCATAAAAATTGCACCTCTTTATGCCTGATCAAAACTACCAATGTATTGTCAAAGCCTTAATATTAAACTCTTTTTTGCAAGCCATTCTCATAATTTAGAAAATTCTCAAAATAAATGCAAATTTGGAGTCGGTATTTTACGTATTTCATAGATAGTAGAAAAACATTCTTAGAGCTTTGATGGAATAAACAAACTGGCTCCCTTCATGTCAGTACAACATCCTATTTATTTCCATTTCGGGCTCTTAAAAGTAGTGAATGCCAAGTTACTGGATGGCACTGTCGCCTTTCAACTTTTGTCCTTGAGAGTTTGCTACTTTACATCAACTATGGTGTCACCCACAGAAGCGAATTGGGATTTTAAGGCTGCATGAGCTTGCTAAAGTCGTCTGTACCGCAAAGTTTTGATGTAATAGATTCAGCAAACATTGCCCGATGCTCGAAAATTTAAAAGCCAACTTTACACACCTAAATCCTAATTCCCACAAGCATAATTACCATATGGGTAGTAATCTTCAGACCCTGGGTCAGGGGAATGAGATTTTTGGGATCAAATGGCTTTTAACTACGCACATATTTGACCTCAATTCTAGTTTCATGAGGACAAGGTGCAACTACATGAAAAGAGGCATTCACAGGGAATCTTCACCGTTTTTTTGATTTAGCCGAAAAGAAGATGCTGTAGTCATGCGCAACCACAAGTTTTACCTCATAGCCGCATTGTTTTCGCAAGTAAATTTACAATTGGGTTTTATGTTTTAGTAAATCACCAAATGTTATAGCTGTGACATTTTGATGGGATCTTGCCTCTAGAAGCATGATCAAGTGTAAATAATGGCTAATACTAGGATTTATACTTCAGAGCCATGGGTGATACATCCGGGTTGGCACATATCCTACATGGAGTGCAATCTACGAGTTTCGTACTAATTTATTTAAATTAATCAGTCCAAGCCTCCCCCTTCCCTCCCACTACCCTGACTTATCCATTATAGAAGCATTCTAAAAGCAGCGATTCATGCTGGACATTCAAACCCGTTTAACTGTGATATCACAAGTAAACAATAAGTACAAATTAATGTGTCATTTTCAACTCAGTTTCTCAACAGTTATACCAACCCTTGCCTCGACTACAGTCCGGAGGGGAGTCTAGAGATCCGCGATCTTATTTTCTTCAGAAGGATGGCCAAAGAGCTCAAGCTCAACGCTAACATCCTCCATTCAAGCCTCTTGTGAGAGATCGGGAGCCAAAAGATGAAATAAGTTTCTTTAGTTTTCCTTTTAAATTCCATTTTAAATTCATCAAACAGGGTCCTATTACAGATACATTTGGGTCATAAATGGACTTAAACCTTACCCAACAAATCAAAGGTGCATTTATATAAACTCATTAAAAAAGCTTTATATGCATCGTAATAGTTACATAGCGCCTAAATTCAAGAAGGCAAAATATGATGCAACATTTCTACGCCCTTCTTTGAGGTTTCTAATATCACATATCATGATTGCACCTGCAGCATATAATAATGTTGGTAGTGTTGGTGCTAACAATACTAAAGTCAAATTTATATGCACATCTTGAGGGCATGCATATTACTTATAAAATTGTTTATCAGTGTGTCATATGTAAAATAAAACCCATCAAATGCTTAACCCCGCCTTCATGTAGACACACCTAGTTGTTTTCCATTTCTCCTAGAAAACAGTTTAGTTAACAAGGAGTAAAGGTAAATTTATCAAAATAATTCCAAAATACCGCAGTTAACCTTACGAGGCTCGAATTATAAGATTTAGCAATTTTTAAATTGGAAAAATAAATTGAGGCACCTTCTGCTAACGTTTTACGCGACAGCGCTTCAGTCATCCAGTTGAAATCTGTCATCATGTGTGACCCTCGGGTGACTTCCAGGCAAATTAACTGCCGATTTTGCCTGCCGGGACAGCGTGATATGAGAAATTTCGATTTCGTCTTCGTTTATTTGCCAGCCAAACTTTCGCTCATAAAAAAGCCGTTTACCATGAGCCTCAGTCAGATTAAATTTGTGGACTTCTCTTTTGCATGTCCCCTTCTCCCATCAGTAGTCCCTCTAAAAAATGTTCTGTTTGGCTAAGAGCACTGAAGATTCTCTGCTACGCCACCCACCCAAACAAATTTAAGACTCCTTTAAGAATTAATTTGGAGGTTTACCAGAATATTAAAATGAAAAAAAGATGAAATTCTACATCTTAACTTTACCTTTTAATATACTTATGTTTTCACAGAGAGATAACTTACTGATCTGAGATGTAAACATTGTCACGTATTTGTGTATAGGTGACACCACTTAAGGCATTTTTCCATTTTTAAGGCTTGTCAAGGAAAAATCTGGAGGTAAAAACTTGCTGTTTTGTTTTCAGTGACAAGGGGTTGTGCTAACAAACCCACAGACGCTCTTCCGTTCTCGTCAGCCCAAACAAACGACCGTTGTGTGCAGGGTGCGGTGGGAGGGGGAACTGACTTCCCCCTTAAACCCACTTCTGCTGATGGGTGCTGACGTGGTGCAGCATACTGTGCAGCTCCTAGATAAAAATTTTTTTCAGTAACTCAAATAAGTTCTAAACGCATTGGTTTGAAAGAGATGGGAAAGAAATACAGTGATTTAGCATTTATAATCCCCACGCCTTGAATGCTCATATCTGTTGCTTTTCATCCAGTGATTTACACTTGCATAGGTGGAATTAAATTTGACTTTTTCCTCCCTGATTACCAATAACATTATTCACAGGTATAGTAGATGACTGTAGTCGTATGTGGATCCGATTTAAATTCCGACAATAAGCAAATCACCAAGGCAACCTCGTCATCCTTATCCAATACAAGCGGCGTTTTTAATAAACTTTCCAATGTCAAGTCACCATTCACTCTCAGGTGGAAGATTGGAAAAATCAAAGCACTGCATAACTTAATGAAGACAATTTGTAACTGAAAAAGGGTCAAGTTATAGGAGGCTAGAGAATAGAAATAGGTGCGTTTGCATTCACTAAGAAGTTGCGATCCTTGATTATGTTTAATTAAATAAAGTGGGTGGCGGATAAATTACCCAATCTCGGGTTCTTGGAATTAATGAGTGGCATACACTGCTCCAAAACAATGATAACAACAACAATCAAAATAAAGATCAAACTGTCTACGAGCATAGGGAACAGATGCTTTACCTCATGTACCCACAGCCCGCTGTATCCTTGCCAATAAGGCGGAGTTCCACAGCAAAACAAATAGCTGACAGTACCAAAGAAAAGCAAAACTATTTCACAGAAAGCAGTCTCAGTGTAGTATGCCGCATCTAAAAAAGCGAAGAAGACAACATGTATGGAATTTTACTGTCCAGTGTTTTAACCGCTGTATCACATTGGCCTCTTCGTCTATGGTTGATCCTAAACAATTGTATCGAAGGAATCAATTCACCTCAAACCGCGGCTTGCCAGGAGCCAAAGTGAAATATTTTTTTGCTTTTCCACTACTGGGTTTCCTTATTGTTCGGTGAACCGGCGTTCCTACCGATTTACTGATTAAATACTTCCCAATTTTAACGTCCAAGACATTTATTATTGCCTATGGCAAAGTGAAACCTTTCACAAAGATTTCATTCTATAAGATCTGTACGTGTTTCTCGATGCCGTTAAACACTTTATTTATTAGTAAAACCGACTTTGAAAAGGTTGAATAAACCGTGATACAGAAGGTTTGAAGAGTCATGGCAAAATTGCAGGTTATTTTAAGGTAGGTAAAAACCCCTTGCTACACTGCCGTTACTCGATACCTTGCCCCTATCTATCTACATGTTCCCAGTTTTCATTAAGTTCGTTTCAATTCCTAAACAAATGAATCTTCCTTATTCTCGACGGTCCAGCTACAGTTTCAATCGGTGACATTTTTGGTACAGTGTTCACCATCCCAATGCACTAGCAGCCAATGCACTGCAAAAAAGCACCAACCTGACCATAAGAGAGAGCTGGCAGGTTCAGACCAACAAATGCCTCCACATTTGACTGCTATAGTCAGAATATTGGCTTACGAGTAGGAAATAACGCTGGCGAAAACCTAATAACGGCACATTCAGTAAGAAGAAATACTCTTCTTTGCAATAAAGCAAAGATTCTCTTCAATTTTCATTCTCAGTTACATGGAACACAATTCTAGGTTTATTCCAGACGCTCGTTCTTTCCATGATTTAAAACAAGGCTCGTTGCCGTTCACTACTCTAAGGTCGGATGTGAGACAAGAAACTTCTTTCAGCCTAAAACGGAATTGTATACCGTTGAGCGTTGCGAGATGAGTGAAAGGCAAGAAACCAGAGGTAAGGCGAAAAGTTGTGAGATTATGGGGATCATGTCAAGTTGCTGCCACAGATCGAAAGTTCTGTGATGGATGTTAGAAAAACATGGTGTGGTGAGATCAGGCTTTAAAAGCAGCACTTTACCTGGAGGTTGAAACCCACGACTTGGTAGCAAACTACTCCATATGCCTTTTGCGAAACCAAAGCAGACGGAAGCCGCAAATTCACCCTAATTAATAATCCATTCTGGGTAGAACTTTACACATAAATTCCACCTTATTTGTTTTTCAAGGGTCTCTTTAAACGATTATTCAATGTATCACTTTTTGATCATAATACACATCATATAAAACTAACTTAGTACGAATAATAACCGGTTTAGACTTTTCACTCAGTGCTATTTATTCAATTGCAAAACCTATTTTATAGCCCTTAAATGGGTTATTGCCAGATAACCTTACTGCTCCCATTAATTGGGAGCAGTGGTTAACTTTTACTGCTCTAGCTAAAATATTCTGCAAAATAGAATGGCATTAGGAAGGAAGTGTAAGTCACTGAACGTGATTAATCCTAGTCATAATTTATACACAGTTCATGTCCAAATTCACCCATACAACACAGGAATTTCCTATTTAGTTCCAGTATATTAGGTGATAAATCTTCGTTTCTGGTCTTAACGAGTAAAGGAGATTTGCTTACCAAGTGTTTGACGAGCCTAACTTGAGATAAATACATCAGTGCTAATAAGTTTATGGGTGATCGTGCATTGGACTGCCCAGATAACTAAATTTGGGTAGATTTCTGTGTTCTCCACGAGAATTGGCACTATAATCTGTCCTCTATTAAAATACACCGCATCTCATAAGTCTTTTCTAATGGTGAAAGAGGACATAATAGGCGTGCAGAAAATGTACTGTCCGCTTGTAGAAGGGTCGGCGGACTAACGGCATAGCCCAGGTGCCATGACAGCCAATGGAAGTTCAATAGAAGCGCCTTAAGTGCCAATAAAACCCTTTTATAGAGTCAAAAAAAATTGAAAAATTTGCAGGTAAGCTGAGTACAGCCCTTTCTGGTTGATCTCAAGTACGAGCTCAGTAACCAACTAAAATACTCCCAATGAGATTAAGTATGGCACCCAGGAGTTGACAACATAGGGGTGTTCGTTTCCCTAACAAGAAATGTAACCTAAAATCCAATAAATAGGGAAAAAATATTCTAGTCATCTTAACGTTGAAATTTTAGACGCAAATTGCTTGAAATGTTTCTTTCCATTCAGATAAAATGGCTACAAATATTGTTTGATGTTTCGATGTGCTTATGTGAATGATACATTTCTCCCTATTTTTGGTAAAACTATGCTTTTGGAACTAGCCGACATTTGGCCAACTAAATAGATAATTCATACATGAAATAAGTTGATACAGGCAGATGTTATTTGTAAACCATTTTTTTCAATTTGCTTCCGTGTCTTCAACTTAAGGTGTTATCGTTGGACTTGCTCACCCTTTAGCATAAAGCATCCCATTGCAAAGGGGTGCTTTACAGTTTGCACCTGTCAGCATGATAATACTTAACTTGATGTCTAGCTATTACTTTTTCCCGTTCCATTGAGTCGTTAACTCAACAACAGCACTTTTTGGAACAGGCAGAGCAAAATAATTTATTGAATCGCGACCAAGATTCCAATTATATTGTCTACATTTGTCATTTTAAATTGATTCGTTTTGCCATTTTCGTCACTAAAAAGAGTGATAATAAATGACTAAAAAGGAGTGTACATTTAAACATGAAGTTCATGGCAATAGGGCTACCAAAAAGCGGGTGTGACATATTTAACCATCACAAAGTAAAGGTCGTCGGAGGACTGACCACAATTTCAGAAAAGTTACGTATTCCCCTCGAAAAGGAGCAAATTTCCTCAATGATAAAAGAGGGGATAATGCTGGGTAGAATTTGTTTTGCCAATGTACTAAAGGGATAGGCGACCACCTTCATATACGGAGGTTAGGTCAACCAAAGAACGTATAATGGGGGAGCTTTAAGTGCCTACGAAACCAATGGGAAGAGTCAAGCAAATTAAACTAAAAAGTTTATTGTTGAACAGTCCACAGTCCCTTTCAGTTAAGCGTGTGTAGAAATATCCATTGATTCAGCATATGCTACCTTTAATGTGTTCGTCTGTACCGAATTTTTAATTAATGTTGCCATTTACCCAATACGATTTAAATGAATGCAACTAGGATTTTGTTGGAAAAAAGTAGCCGGATCCCCCACACAATTGGTTGCAATTAGGTGTATCACATTAACCTGCCTGGGGACCTAAAGTAGTCGCCTTAATGAGCCGAGAAGTAGTTGCGTTTGAAGTTGGCTTAGGCCTCGCTTATTGCGAATGCGTCGGTGAGGGTATCTTGATCTCGGTAATCGTAGCTCATTTTCTAATCCACAACTAACTTGTTTGCACAACTTTGTGTTAGCCTTTTTACCCGTCTTCACTGAAGTAAAACCATTCCTAGTAGACCGATTTTAGGACACTTCGCAAACCTGCATTCTAGCATTCAGTACTACAAAGGTAGGGAATTTCAAGCACAACCTCGGGTGTAGGTGTAGCCCTAAACCCTGTGAATAAGGTAAGACTAAACTTTCCGAATGAGTCGGCATTCGCCCACCCAAATGGATAACTCGTGCCAGAACGAAGTTTGTGTAAGCAAGCGATACTTGTAAGTTCACCTTTTTCTATGCGCTTCCTTTTCTTTAGCTTAGAGTGTCATCGTTGAGGAGACTAGATCACCAAAACGAATCCTCATAGTCAAGCCTACCTAGTTTTCAAACTTTTCAATGGCAAGTCAGGGAAGAACAATTCTTTATCCTACGTGTACACTTAAAAGTACTCCATCGAGGTTTGATCAGAGGTTTGATAAAGCGTGAATGTTCTACCGCATAACTTGCAAGGCACCAGCAAATTAAATGAACCACTGGCCGAGCAGACACATCGATACTTTTATTCTGCATTGGTAACAATAGGGAACAACGATTTAGAAGCTTGTAATTAGTGCCGCAGATCACTGCTCTATCTGTAATTCCTTAACCACAGAAGGTGTTCGTTTGATGTCCTTCCATTAAAAAGCATATCATTGTCACTTTGTTTTCACTTTTTGTGTGCAGAGTTCTGGGATTTATTGTGAAGGTCACTATTTGATCAGGTAAGTTGGGCTCCTTCAACTCTAGGAGATTCATTTTAGATAAGCGCTTATTTTTAGCTCCTCTTGTACACTTGAAGAATGGTTTATTCATTATTCTATCACCGATTTCTCGTTCTCTACCAGAAAAATGAATGTTTTAAATTGACAAATGGGAAGTAACAATTATCCAGTAATGCTCTGCCTCGGACTTAATTTTGATGAAGCTTGAACTCTTGATAAATTGGCCTTCCTTGTCTTCCTTATCATCAAACCTCTTCTCTCTTTTTCGTGTTTACATCAAAAGTGGTTGGCGGGTGTGTATTCAATGCGGCATTAGCTAGACGTTGACCCATAAAGTCACGGTGAAGAATTTCCAACCAGTGCGGTAAGTATAGCAGCACCAGCGCTAATCCAGTGGTGAACAAGGAGCCTTCTTCCCAAAAGGCTCATACCGAAATCTGTGGCAAATATGAGTCCTTTCTTTACATGATAATCGCAATGTTAGTCCTTGGCGTTGGGGTATGATGCCGTTATAGATAAGGTGAACCCCAAAACCCTTCTACAAATCCCTTGCCCGAAAAGTGCTTTAAAGGTGTTTTCTGTGGGTAGTTGCGAAAACCCAGGACAACATATCGAAGTAATTGGGACGCTTCTTACTTCTGGATGGTACCGCACTCTGGTTATATTCATTAGCTCTGTAACGAAAAAACAAAACAAAACAACAAAACATAGATAATGTTACTATTTTAGGTGATGAATAGGAAGGAAAAGGCAATAAGCGTAAAGGAAGACAACAAATTGTGCTACGATGCTATAGTTCTATGAAAGAAAAGATGATGGTTAAATATTTGAGTTGAGCTGCATCAGATACTTCTTGACTACCCCTATGTTGGGGAACAACCAGAGGTGGCTATTTAAAGAAGTGCTTTTCATAATTTGATGACTGCAAAAACTCCTAATAATTATTCAGCAACATCAGCACTAGATCTAATGAACCCGAGAACTCGCTTTCCACAGGTATCTTTAAATAATGTCACTCCTAACATTTATCGCATTGGCTCAAATATATGCCGTATCATCGTTTTCTTCCTTTGGCATCACATCATGCATCTGGGCTACTTTTGCAGCATTTCTTTCAAAACTCAGCTGTAAAACAGATCTTTTAAAAAACATCAACCTCGGGGGTTGGAGTGAACCCTCTTTGTTAGTAGCAAACACTTCGGATTTCAGTTGCAGTAAAGAAAAAGCGCCTTAAAAATGCCATGGTAACGCACTAGAAGCCCTCCGAAAGAAACTGGGTAGAACACATACAAACGCCTGTAACCGTTCATAATACATAGTATGACACACTTGAAAGAAAAGCACCTGGGCTAATTTATAAAAATAAAAAACCGAGGACAAACCAAACCGTGAATGATCAAAACTACCGTGTCTAAGGTGCAACGATAGTGCGAAATAACTGCTATGAAGTTCAAACAGATGTTTCAATTAGATAAATGCAAAGAATGAACAAAACAGGCCCTGGAATTGATTTGGAAGATCGTGCACACATCTGTTGGCCAACAAAAGGTAACACAGAGGTCTCCTTAAAGGCATCTTTTCGTTAGGCTGAAATGCACGATCGTCACTACCGCCGAGCAGCGTGTAATTGGCTGTAAAGGAAGCCAGATTTTTTTTTTAAATGTAGGGAATCATTTCGATTTTTTATAAACTTCATTTGATTTTAACTATTCCAGTCTTTTTGGTATAAGAAGGTTCAGCTCCATCCAAGTATACTAGGAGGGAAGTTAGGAACTCTTGAAAACCTACTTCCGATTAGCGGCACTCATGGATTCGGAAAATATCAGAAGTTTACCACAGTACAGCAGTGCATCATGTCAGTCTAATCATTACCTAGTCAATTTGATCGACGTCTGCACTTCTTCGAAACGATTTAATGTGGGTAAAATGAGGAAACTAAGTCTTCGTGATGGGAATACAATTTATTGCCTTGCATTTAATCAAGTGTTTTTGTGGGTAAACGAGTCTCCTAAACACTTTACTCAGGAAGTAAAAAAAATTGTACTATGGTAAAAGTTGTGATCTGGAAAATGGCACCAGTTTGGCACAGATAAGTCTTCTAGTGTTATCTGATCACCTTACTGCAAAGAAATGTGTTTCAGTCAGCCCCAGCTTTGAAATTCATGGAGCACTTTGTGACACGTAAACAACCTCCACCTAATTTGATTCCCAATGTTAAAGCCGAACCAGGCTTGATGAAATCTGACTTCGGATCAGTGACTGAGTGAAGGCAGAGAAACGGCGTTGTTCGCTCTAATCGGCGATAGAAATCTAAAATAAAGTAGTTGATTAGAGGCGCATTCGCTGGTTCTGCATAGTGTCTGTATAGTGTCGTTTGTGCGATATCATACTGAATCAACAGCCCCCTTCTTGAAAGCAAAATAACAGGAAATTCATTCTTTCTTCCAGGTACATTCATTATTTCTATAGAATTATCCCATCCGAAATTAGTATTTCTTGATATATGGGAAAAAACCCCCTTCTAGTTTATGCATAACTGTTGTTATCACACACAACATGACAAAAAGGCATACGAAGAAGCATAAACAAAGTGTAATCAGTTCAAAGAATAATTCAGGAGGCTAGCCTAAAAAGTAGTGGGATTTCCCAATGCTGCGACAAAATCTACTTTCTGAAGACATTCACACGGCCTTCTTGGCCAATAAATGATGAGTTGAAGTAGTGAAATTAAAGGAAAAAATATTCTGGTGCAAGGGCTAGCTGTCACTGCTCACAATTTTAAATATCATCGCTCTAAAACACTGTTGCAAATTTTTCAGCCTTAACGTAACATTTTGTCTGATTTGCTTCAGTTCTGCTTAAAGCGCTACAACCCAGCCTAGGTCTCTCACGGTCTCGAAAATGCGTAACCTCGATATCCACGCTATTAGGTTTTCCGCGATCAGGATGATGCGAATGAGGTGAACATTTCTGACGGACGCAAAATCCTTTGCCTTTAAGTGAGCAAAGAATTGCGTTAAATCGTCTTAGCTGGAATCATGGCCTCCTGCAAAGTGCGGAGTGGTTTTATGGGGGAACAAGAAGACGGACTGGCCATAAGAATGTTGAAAAATCTAATACGGAAGAGAGACTGGGTGGGCATTTCTAATACCCCCTAAATTTTCTTTCTATTAACATGTTTACAACTGTTTGATTGAGCATGCCTTGAAAGATTCTCTTCAACCGGTCCAAACCTCACATCATGGATTACCGGGAAAGAGTGGAACCTCGGCCATAGATGGCCATAAAGACCCAAATATCGTATATTACTTCCAGGCTGGAAATGCAGAAGGAGCATGCGAAGCGGTGTTGACTACCCTAGGCTCGCCCCCCAATGTAACCAACGCCACCACAGCTGCTGTTGCCATAAAAAGCGAACTCTGTTTTTTGGCAAATCTAGCTCCTTCATTGTTGATGTCTTTGGGTGGTGCTAAGAACAGGCAAAATGTTAGTATTTTGTCCTCTTTCACTGAACACCGAGAATGTGTTCCAAAAGTCAAACTCAGAGGTCACTTACAGCTTCTCTGCCCATCCATGTTGTCAGCACTAAGATTGTGGAACTTCACATTTGGCATCAGTGATTGTTTTAGCCTCAGCCTTCTCCAGTTTGGAGATTAACTGTTACGTATGCAGAATGCATGGTTGAATCCTGTTGCTCATTGAAGTTACTTTTATCTCCAGATGGAACAATTTTCTGTGATCAGGGTGTTTCCAGTTCCGTCTAATACCTTTCACAAATAGGCGACATAGTTATATCAGTCCATAATGAATGGTGCCTGGCACCTCAATTTCCAGATTTTTTAAAGTTATCGCGATGGCAAGAAGAAGCTAAACTAACCAAACTAAACTTTAAAAGGACAACGCTTGCGTACAGCTGGATCGGAGATTGATGAATGGAAAAACAGTTTCGAGTTTATCACAGTTTTTTCTGTGTAGCGTACTTCGCTGGCAAAATACAAACTTCACACAGTGAAAAATATTTTTAAGTTAAACTAAAATTGCCTCGACTACGGTTGACTACATTTGGATTTTGCTTAGATATACTCTCATTTAGTTCTGAAAAGTGATTGACATTAATTTTGTTCGAGAACTATCTATAGCTGGTTTTATGCGTCTGAATTGTGGTTGGAAGTTATAATAGGGTAATGGTTGAAGATATATTACTGATGTTATTGACTAAGCCCAATATTTTATCCCTGTCCCAGTAAAGGAAGAGTTAGCATGATAGAAAGCTGATGCATTATTGTCTTGTTTAATTATTTTTGGGTGCAAAATCTGGCATTTTGGGGTTCCAGATTCCATCCAGACAGATCAAACAAGTAATGATACGTTGGACGCGATCTTCAAGTGAAGAATCGACCTCTGTAAAAGAACCTAGAGTGGAGTAAAGGCCATTAAGAGTCCATATGAAACGACAAAGAAGGGCATGTACACTTTGTGAGATTGAAAAAGTGTTTCAAAAGGCCTTTCCAAGGCATAAAGGGTTGGCTGCAAAAATACGAGACTACCAATTGGGTGATCTAGGTGGTGTTGGGCGCCTTACACTTGCCAACAAGCTAAATCTAGTACATCCGTTTACCAGCCTTATTGGAATCAACGACGGAGAATAACAGGCTCTTCAAAGGTATTAGCAAAGTATCACACAATGCATATTCCCACCTTTACGAATAACATGACTATTTCAAGTAACGACGGTCGGAGGTTGTGAACCGATTCGTGAGGCAAATGTTAACCCTCCAGCCTGAAGCATTGAGTTTTGAGTTGTATCAGCTTCATTGGTGATGTTCACTCGTTTCGAGGATATCAGCAGTTTTTTATGGAAATTTCTTTGAAGAACGTAAAATTTGTTAAATCATACAACTCAGCACATTTTGCATACCTTACTATGAAAATAGGAGTGGTTTGCCATTTTAGTAAAAATGGCTTTATACTTCTGAAATATTTGTTTTTGAATTAGGGAGCACCAAACTACCTTTTGTACTATCGCTCGGCTTTTGAATGAGTTGCTGGAGTTTGATTTACCCTGTGCAAAGCAACTGGGATACAGTGTTCAGTAATTTAGAGGCCGTTTAATCCTGCACTTTGGCTACGCAGACACTTAAGGCTCCGCCATTGCACTTCCGCTTGCTAAAATGCCTTCGGGCCATGTTGACAGCCTCGGCTACTTCTACATCAGTAATATATCTTCTGTCATGCTCCTGTGCTACATTCCAACTTTATTTTGGATTAGTAAGCGCAACTGTGGGTCCTTCCAAAATGGATATTAATAACACCTACATCGTGGTTGGTTACAAATCTACTTTAACAGCATTTAAGGGAGTATTTTCGCAAAAATAGCTCTTCTTGAGGGTAAATTGGCTCAATGCCAACATAGTGTTGCAATGGTATGCATGCCACCAAGGGGTGACCATAGCAAACAGGTTGGATTAACAGATTTATACTTTTGAATAGTGTGGACGACTGCGTATATAAAGAAATGTACCTTTTCCTTAAAATTGTACAGTACCACGATCTCCATTTCATGCCATGAGGGCTTTTGGGATTACCCACCAGCCCCTTCCACAGCAATAACTTTCTCGTCAGGCTGTTTGTGATGCAGAGAAAAACTACGCGGCATTCAGAGTCCTGCCTGCCTGTAGTGCCCATGAATTATTAGCCAGCTACTCGACCAATTCTGTACGCAGGTAATTTCGCATGGGAAAACGGGCACGTTTCTTACCTATCCACCCAAATTTGCAGGGTACACCGAAAACGCTTTCCTCATGTCTTAATAAAGTCGTGGCAAATAATAGAGTAGAGCTCAATGATTTCCGACAAGTGTCAAGCAGCTTTGTATTTGGTAAAATACGGAATAATTTGTGCCCCTTATGCCTTCGGGCAATATCTTCCAAAGTAAAATGGCCGATAATTTAATTTGAATCGGGCTAATCTTTGAGGAACGGAAACCATGGCAAACATTTTGTTTAGAGTTGCTCTCTACAAAGCATCACGTTATGTAGTTTTTGAGTTTCATCTAAATCATTCCTACATAGTAGGTTATATCTACAATTTAAACGCAAATTAGACTCATTATCTACCGTCATGATTATAAAATTTCGAGAGAGAACTCATTTACAATCCCTAACCTCGTTGTTAGTTCATTTCACCTTACCATAATTACACAGTGTTGGTTTTCAGGCATTTGTCAGGCGTTAATCACAAAGAAAGTAACCATGATGGGATTTGGCTGCAATCTGCTGGAGTTACACCAGCTTTAGTCTAACTCAAAAAGTTTTTATCACTGTATTAAGGCCTGTAATTATTCACCTGGCCACGACTGATAAAACCGTGGAAATTTTAAAGCGTCGCTTGCATTCACCAACACTAGGCTTATTTGTGGGAAAACAACATTCCCTACTAAATCTACTCCGGATGTTTCAACCTTATTACCAACTTACAATAGCTTCAAAATACTTGAATAATGATGCACTATGCGCTGTTAATTGGGAGCTAATGAAGGTATGTTGCCTTTTCGTGAAAGACGCGAGGAGCAACTATGAACGACATCAGATTTAATTAAAGCGGCATGTACATCAAAATCTACATGCCGTTCAATTTCCATACCATGGAAGACCGAAATGAGAAATGAACCACCGATGTAAAAGCTGAAGTCTATTGCGATAATACAGATAATGTGGAAATATGAAATTGTTGCTTCCATTGCTTTAACCAATTTTCATCTTCGTAATAACTCCCTAACGCCTGAATAACGAGACATTATGTGGTGTTCATTAGGTGCTTATGAAATAACAGTTAAATTGGGAACAATGGACTTATGGAGACCCAATTCACTTGAAATTACAAGCATTTTAGAATGCGCAAAAAAATCTAACGATTTAATCTGCGCACGTAACATTTAATCTCTATGCTGCAGGAGACTGGAGACACAAACTCTAAATGTTGCAAGATTTGAATTTCGGAGATTTTATTATTGGCAATGTATAGATGTAGAGTTGCTGTAAGAGAAACCCTATTCATGAGGACTTTTAAACGCTCACTCTTCATATTTCAAGAAATAAAATAAGAATGTTGAACTTCGTTGACACCTGATGACAATAACAATAATAGGGGTTAGACCGGCTAAGACAGCGGCGATCCGAAGGAAGTCTCACCTTAATTCTGTAAGCACTTTGTGTATTTCCATCCTGGTCTTAGTCTTTTTAATTCTAACAATTATGGGGCTTAGCATTGTCGGCATGTGCTCGAAGTTTTACTGCTATGGGATGATGCCACTCATTCTGCAATTCTCTGACTCAGCTGACTTACGATTTGCAGTTTGGGTAGATGGTCTACCAAACAGTACTAGACAGTTTACTAAAAGGGAGGTTCAAGAGGTGCTACAGATTGACATCCACTAGAGCATTGGCACATGTTTGCTCACCATACTTCCTCTCCATTATAGAGCCTATTCTCCTCTAAAATCCGCTTGCACTTTACAAGAATTTGACCAAATTCCACCATTACCCGATAGCAAGTGTTTTTGACTAGTAAGAAATGTTTACAGCACCCAAGCTTGTTTGACCCCTCAGTGAGGCACTAAAGTCCGGTCGTCTAGAGTATGCGCTCACAATCTGCAATGTGATCGCGTACAATGGTTGCAACTAATTTCTCCTAATGAGAGAAATCCAAATAACGTACACATCGAGGTAACGCAATCTCAGGAACTTGCAAAATGTAGTCAGTCTTCATCAACAGTAGTCGGAACTAGAGCGAATGAGAACTTAAACTACTTTTAAGATCGATTATTCATATCGGGAATCTAATCATTTGATGTCCAAGAAGGCAAAGCTGACGTCTTCAGATGGTGAATTTTGCCGTAATACTCCGAGAAGTTACCCCTACTCTGCCGTATTTTCTTAAATTATTGTTAAAAAGTGCCATTTTTGCACCGGCAACGCTTTGTTTATACTTCACTATATTATAATTTATCGTATCACGTGAGTTGGTGACATTTAAAAATAAATTAATGTGGGGTAATTCCTGATACCTCAGAATCACCAATTTTTAGAACGGGTGGCTTCTACAGGAAACATGAGAGTGCTTGAAAGAGTAAATAAATCTACTGTTGTTTTACGCTCTAGAGGAGGAATGACGCCTTCTATTAGTGCAGCATAGGCGACTGATGAAGTGTTCTGTGGAAGCTTTTAATCGGATACCGCATTTTGTACTACTTAAGCTGTATTACTCGATGCACCACTGCTTCTTTGAGCTCATTAGACTATTAGTCCCAAGTCAGCTCTTGTTGGTCCTGTTGGTGGAATTCTATACGGTGTGCCTCTAATATCCACGTTGAGGTTAACCCACTTACTTTCCTACTAGGATTGGAGACTAAGCATTTATAGTAGGCTCATCTTTGCGAACCTGATGCCGTTTCCATAGGCCGCAACTTGTAGTTAACATTTTCAAAGCATTGAGACCATCGCTTTACACTGTTTTAGTGGGTCATTCTAAAAGTTTCATTTGTTTGCACTTGACTGCATGCGAAATCAAGCAATGGTAGTCCACTTGCGAAAACCAAGGCTCCTAATTTTGCCTATATCAAATAGGTTCGAAAAGGTGCAGAACTGACTAGGCAACGGTTGATATGATGTGGTGGATTGCTGTATTCTGGAAAATTTGTTATTTATCCATAACCATAGATCTTACTTATTGGAAGTAGGGTCTTAATAGTGTGGTTTGATGACTGAATAACTAAAAGCAAGGGCACAAAGTACTCGCTCCAGGTGAAGATCGGACTTTTTGAGACACAAAGTTTGCATATTTAAATTTCGGCTTCATAATATGGAGCAATTTATCTTCTAGGGCCACCATGGTGCATGGTTTATCAGTGACAGATAATTTATTTAGAGAGACAACTTTGTCATTTTCTCGAGTGGAGAGTGAATCAGTATGGCAATGTTTGCAGAAGGCTTATGAGTATAAAAAATGTCCTGCAGAATGCATTCAGAAGAACATAAAATGTGCCTCGAAGCAAAGATTCGTTACTTTCCCAAAGGAGGAATGAATACAGGATTGCGAGCTTAAAGAAAATAGTAGCAATGCTTTCTTTTGCATTCAGATGGCTCTCATTAATGTCAGTGCATTGTAATGGTAGTTTTCGGTCGTAAAATCACGTTATGCGTAACAAAGAGGAGAGCTATTATGAGACGGTTTTACTTAAGTCACCTCAATATGCCCTGACATTCCTTCTAGTTGGAATGGAAACATGTAAACTTCTACAAACGCAAAGTATGTTACCTCTTAACACAAGTGAATGACATAATTAAACATGCCTATATTTATAAACTTTTAAAATAAAAGGCAAGGGACATCGTTTTCCTTTCTTTTACTTTATGTTTTGAGGACTACAAGGGAAGGAATTAACTGGATGTTAAGTAGGCCCAGAGTACACAACTGCTTGTACTATCTTGTAAACCCTTACAAATAGATAGCATCTTCTAGTAGCAATTTAGGATATGACTCAAGTCCTTTGTTCGGGCGCTTTTTGACAACTGTCTGGATTTGTTTATGTTCTCTTTATCAGGCCTGGGACATTCAGGGTGGATATTGCTAGAAATTTTTTGTTAACTCCATCTTAATATGTGATTGAAATTTTGACAGTCGAGGCAGTTGTTGAGACAGTTGCAATCAGCAACAGTTAGAATACGCTCCCTAATGAGATCCCCATTTTCTTAAGCTTTTGTTTTCCTCATAAATTATTTCTTTATCATAATCTATACCCGTGCCTCAGATATTAAATTAGCCTCCATTACCTACAGTCGCGATCTGAAAATTTGGAAGAACTTATTTGTGATTCTTAGCCTAGCCGGTTGTTCAACACTGCTGCGCAGTGTTGGTTTCCAGGGTGAGAACAATTGACTATCAGTCCTTCATCATAAAGGGGGCAGATACGTTGAAATTTTTCCCAACAACTCTAAAGGTTAAAGTGTTTGCTTGAAAAGTTTGGCTGCAAGCTGCTGGAGTAAGCCGATTCGATCTAACTTTAAAAGATTTTACCATTGTGTTAAGGCCTGCACTTTACCAAGAAGGCACCAACACCAGATTTTCATGCACGCTAAGGTCCTTCTTCCTAAAATCTACCTTTACTGTTTCAGCTATTACCGCCCTTCTCAAGTCTTCAAAGTACTTGAACTATGATGCACTAGGCAGTGGTTATTACGGGCTAATAAAAGATATTTGGTGGAACCAAAACTAAATCTGTCATGGAAAATGCGTTTTAATTGGAACTGCGAGCACCTTTAATGAGCACCATATTCTAACCACATAATCTGCACACATAATAGGCAATCTCCATGTTCAATAAGACTGAGGACAAAACCATCACTGGTGCAAAAGATTTAACATTAATATTAGTAGTGTTAATAATATTAGGAGCTATTGGTAAATTGCTAATAATTAGTACTAACCTTAGCAACTTGATGTAGATGCACTGTAAAAGAATCCCCGTTCAGGAAGACCTTATAAAGGGTATTCTCAGTACTTATTGAAAGAGGATAAAAACTATCTCGCGTGGCTATACTTAGCACCATCTAATGACAACAACAGTAACTGGAGTTTATTCCACTAAGAAGAATGCGTTTACTTTTTTAGAGCTACTGCAGTCACTATGACAATGACTGCACCAAGGGGCGCTGCTTGGATAGTCACCCCCAACTTGCAAGACTCGTGTGAATCTTTAGCCTGGAAGTACTCAGTGCAATGCCCAGAGTGGTAGAGCTTATTATGTTAATCTGTGACCAGAGATTCACTTCTGCTTGAAGAATCCACCAGATCTGTACTCTCTGGAGCATTTAACTTAAGATGTGCGGTTTCAAAGGCTTGGAAATGTTTGTTCAGTAGATACTCTGTCAGTCATTTTTAGGCATATCTTAAAAAGAGAATTTAATAAGGTTTTTAGATTGACATCTACAATTCAAGATTACCCAACACAAACTCCATAGGCAGTTACCGGAAATATCATTTTCAGTTCAAAAGCACTAGAGCCATTCCTCACAAGTATTCAAAAGGATACCTCGACTACCAGAATGCGAGTTGGAACCCGTGAGAAAGATTTTACAGCCACTCAGTCTGTTAAGATCGTGATCGAAGTAGTAGAAGTGGAACCGTCACGACGAAGCATTAGTTTGCTGTCACGCATGGAAGTTGTCATGGGTGTCACGCTGCTTCGCTTATGCCTAGAGTATTTACAAATGCCCAACATCCTGGAACAGTGTAAAGATGTCATCCTTTCATTCATGCTAACCAAATGGTATCTTAGTTTAAGACCTTAAACTAAGTTTGGCTTTAAAGGAATGTCATATTTGTCTAGAATCGGATGCAGTGCAAACACTTGGCTGACAAATTCCCCATACTGATCTGTCCGGATGACCTGAATTAAAAGTGACGGCCAATTCATGAAGTACTCAATTCGAATGATAATGAAATTCCTTCAAGCACAGAGTCTGCCTCTTTTATTCATGACCTCATGAAATGAAGCAGTTTACCCTCAAGGGTTGCGGCGGCATAAATCGGACTCTTGATACACTAATCAATCTCGGCCGACAAGTGAGGCATTTCCTTGAGTGGTAATGATTCAGCAATGCAGTGCTTGCAGATGCTTTATGAAATGAGAAGAAATGTTTCGCAGAATGCGTCTAGAACATTGTAAAATGCGATTAGGGGGCAAATTTATCGTTTTCTCAACAGTGGAATGAATGCAAGATTACAGGCTTAAAGGATTTCCGGAAAATCCGCCTATAATTAATGCGGGCATTTTATAACCGGCAGTATTCGTTTTGAAATCCCATTACTCGCAGTAAACAGGAGACCTATTAGAAGGCAGCTGTATTCAAGTCGTTCCACTATACCCGAGCACCGTGGCCATATTTCTCCTCTTCCAGTTGAATTGAGGTTATTGAAAACCCTTTTAACGTAAGTCACGTTGCCCGCGGGTAAAAGTGGATCACATCTTTCAAGATACTCGCATTTTCAAGCTTCGATACTGAAAGAGGTTTTTTTTCTTCCTCTTACTTTATCCTTTTATTAATTAAGGTGGAAGGAACAAGCCGAATGTTGAGTAGACATAGAGCACAAACCTGCCCGTAATGTTTCGTAACCTGTTTTACGTAGATAGACTTTACTTAGTTGTAATCCATTAAATGGCTTATTAACCCCCCAAAAAAGGAATTGCCACTGTTTGAAGCTGTTCTCCATCTCTTTATCACACTTGGAACAGTATAGGTGGATTTCACTAAGATTCTCATTTATTCTGCCTTTAGGGGCGGTTGAGGGTTTTTTATAAACAAAACTTAATTAAAACATTATATTTTGACTAAATTACAAGGTTGTCTTCTAAATTAAGGAAAAAGTAGGTATTGATGAATTTGCAAAACCTGTGCGCATGTGAGTAATTACTTATTTATAAGCACATGAGACACGTTTAAGTACTCAAAACTTTTAAATCCTCTAACTATTAACACCATAAAGTAAGCTGCCAGTTTATCTTCAGGTTTCAAATTAAGCGAAATGGCTTAAAAGATGAAAAATCCTTGGTTAGGCTTCTTAGCTGAGGAAAGAGAAATCTTTTCTTGCCCCAAAAATGACTATGCGTTGTGAGGGTGGTTTATAAACAAAACCCACCCATAAATATTCATCCAAAGCTCTTTCTTCTTTTCCAGGTCATCACGTTTTTCAAAAAATAGAAATTCCTTAGCACCCAGCATAAAATATTTTCTTTATAGCACTGCTAATTTAAATACTGAGATAGGCCCTTAAAATTATGGCGATGTGTGACTTTCCAGGAGATAAGGCACATCGTTTTCAAAATTTGGTTCAGTTATAACTGCTTAGGTCTGTACATTTTGCATCAGCATTGAATAGCGATATGGTGCTTCAAATTTTAACTTCAAATCTGACTTCTTCGACGAGCAACTACCTATTACTCAACAGCAGTGATGATTGGGCATTTGAAACTGAGGAAGAGTTACCGTGAAGGAGATCCACCCGCCACCGTTTACTGTTTAACTGGGTTGTGTACACGGCCTGCCAACTCTGCAACGCCCATTGAGTGTCCACTACATTTACCCACATGAACCAGAGGTTAGAAATTTCATAAATTTATTATTCGCTGCTATTGGATCCTCATTGCCTAAACATGATCATTTACCACAGATACATTTCTCCAAAGAGTGCCATTCTGTGTGTTTCTACTAACTATCATGGGTTCTATGCTATTTTCTTCACAGGGACCCCTGTACGTTTTCAACAACAGCAATCGAACTCCTGTGTGAGTTACTGACGATCAAGGTCCGCCGTGATCCACACGCTTAGTCCCTCTCACAACAGCATTTTTAGGAAAACGGTAAAAGTAGCCTTCATTCATAATCTTAGGGAAGTAGAAGCCAGTGGCAATGCGACATATAGTAGGAGTGTTGCGACAAATTTTATCATCAAATTTAATAGGAGATACTTGTAGAAGGCCAATAGTCAGCCTCAGAGCGATGCTATGGGTGTAGAGGGTTTTGTTGCCGGTGTTATTGAATAGTCTGCTGAGATTATGCCCCTGTCTGGGTCATCGAATTGTCTAGCAATGCATCTTGACGTATCAGGAAATATCCGATGCAGCACAAAGGCTCAACTGACATTAACTTCCCTCATATAACTGTAGCGTAGTGGCTCAGTTTGATGTCAACGTTCATTCTTAATATTTTTTCCTTTCGAGTCATCGTCAGTCCTAGTCGAATTTTTAATAGTTTGTTAACCCTAGTACATGTTTGCCATCGGCAATGGTTCCGGAGTTAAAGAATATCATTAATGTGATAGTATTGAAAATGGGTAGCATTTTAATTGTTTCTATTCATTGGTCTGATTTTTAGCAAATAATTAACGAAAGCACATTTAAAGCATCTTTGGGCTGAAAAATTTTGCAGAAAGGAAACTGATGGGAATTAGGAGGTTTTATTCATCAAGCTTTCAAACCTTGTTACAATAAAGCCTGAGGCAGGGTGTTGACAGGTGATGGCTGTCCAATTGTTGCATCTCTAGAGCATTCATTTTGTGAGCGAAAGAGGATAGAAGTAGGGAAAGGAGGAACAAACAAACTACTCCGCAAATAGGTAGGAGGAGTTGAATTAAAGCGCTTAATGAAAATGACCACCGCATTGTATCGTTTGATTTCTCGCGCAACAAAATGGAAACGAAGTAACTGACACTGACCTGCGTTTTGCTGAAAGAGCATCAGGCTATCACATCCACTGGGTGAGGCATTTATAACAGTGTAATAAAATTAGGTACCGATTCGCGGGCTACAAACAGATGGATCCCGTCCTTACTTGTAAAGCACTAAATTTTGATCCCTCTCCTTGGTAGGTGGCTTATTACGTTTTCTAAAACCATGCAAATTAGATGACTGGTTATAAATCCACGCTAAAGGATGTTAAAAAACATGCAGGATAGAGAGTTACCCTTTCTCACATTTACTATTAAACAGTTTTTTAACGAGGTAAGCTCGTCCAAAAGGACTCATTTTAGTTCTCAAGCCTCCTCATTGGTGGCACTTTAGATTGAGGAAACGGAAGCAAATTTGTACAGGTGATCCTTGGAGTAACTGCTGCCTACTCCAACAACTTCAGGTGCCAGTCATCCGCTTAGGTGGTGGAATAGAGGCTCATTTAATCAGCATCCAGGCTTTCAGCGTTAAGCTGGCTTTAATATTTTGCCTTATTCACTGGGCTTAAAAGTGCCCTTCTTAAAAAGAAACTTTCATCTTTTAGGTGTCGTTTCCTGAGTAACATACCTTAGACAATAATGAGGATTACCCATGATCTCATAAGATTTAGTGTCTTTATCGTCACCATAGTTCGTCAACTACTCAATAAGCAAACTAAGTTTGTTTATGGGATATAAATTAAGATTTAACGCCCAAAGGACTGGAACTGAAAAAGAGATTTCTCTAAAGCTAACTCCAATGTAATGCATTTGTCTAACCGATACGAATGTTGTATAACCCAAACGAAAGTTACTTAAGTCTTGTGACTTAAACTTTCTTCCTAAGGCCATTTTGTTTCCTTAGAGCCATTAACCGGAGCAGTAAAGTCAATGATATTTCAATGGGTATCAAGTGCTCAATGGGAGCACCAAAATGGTTTAGCAACATTCTATTTTAAGGACTTTAAAATAGATCCACAATCCAAGGGGATCATTAATTGGTGCGACTTCGTGGTACTTAAGTGTGTCTTGGTCACAAAACTGTTTCTCGATTTACGACCTTCCTGTTGCCTGGACATAAAAATAAATGGACAATACTCTGTCGTTAACGTATTTTTATAGCTGACAACGTGAATTAATTTAAAGTGACAACTATGGGTAATGCACTCGGAACCTCTGTTACGGGCTAACCAATATTCTGCATTACATTTTATGGAAACTTGGCTTTTTTAGGGGGCAAAGAGTTGATGAAAGGGGAAAAACAGCTAAACATCAGGTGGAGTAGCATCACTCTGGCAGGTGGGAAATAAAAGGAACACTTTTGAAACAGTAAAAAGTCAACTTTAAGTGATTCGCTGAGATTATCAATTCTTTCTATGCATTGTTCATCTCGTCATCACCTCTATTACCGTCTCAAAGGACACTGTGTAACTTTTCCCTTTCCCGTGATGATTCAGGGCGGTTTTCTTTTTGTAAAGAGATCTTAAGATTACGTAGGTATTTTATGACGTAAAAGCAGTCACACTTCCACTGCAACCAGAGGCTGTTCTGAAAATACTTTTTTATGTACACAGTCAGGCTAAGGTCTATGGAACATCCACCTTCTCTTCTTGTAATGCTCACTAACAAAGGCTCCTCTCCCCTCTTCAACGTCATCATGAAAATTAAAAGGCCTTCCGCTTTTGCAATTTTAGCCAAAGACGTTTCAAGAAGTTTGTTAGGCAAATTTTTACTCCAAAAATTCGGACCTTATAACATCTTTCCGACTTAATCTTTATCCACTGAATTGCCCATTCTTAGCTGTAATTCGATTTGAAGCCTTAAAAAGCCAGAAGCCGAAAATAACAGCAACTCTCCTTCAAAATTAAAGGACTTATCTTGATCTCTAGAGCTAGAAACCTTGTTGAGAAAATGGGCTAAGAGCAACGTATTTCCTTCCATCTGTTCTTTACTTATGGCACCGCAGTAAAAGGCGCCCACACTTTCACCAGGAATCGCTGCTTACAGAGTGCCTCTGTGATGGATGAATTGAGGCAAGGAGAACGAGTGGTGGGCATGTAAATCTAAACAACTTAGTCTAGCATATTTGGAAATTTGTAGATGTACTCCGTATAAGATTTATGCCCTACCAACACAAATGGATCACTGATTGTTCTGCTGTGTTTAGCCACAGGTCAGCAATAACTCAGGATGGTCTGTGTTTCTGCAGGTGGCACGACCCTGTCCATGTGTGAAATCCATAAAGCTAAATTCGTGTAAACTCTATGAATTCGAGGTAAAACTTGTGGTAAAACAACTACAGTTTCGACTTTTTGGCTATACTGTGAAAGTGCTGAAGCAAGGGAAAAGTAAGAACATATCTAAATCTAGATATAACTGATGACATTAGGTAATAATACCCTGCTAATGCCTATCTCATGCAGTTACACTCATTGTTCATGAAATCAGAAATTAGATTGTATGTTCGAATGGCTGAGTACGACCTCTGTGTTATCAAATCTATAAGTTTGAGACAAAAAAGCACTTTTTTATCACCCAGGGGTCAGAAGATTACTACCTGTCATGTAACGCCTGGATTTTAATTACAGGGATCAGGGTCGTGCAGCAACCTCTCAAATTACACGAGAGTCCGAGAGCGTCCACAGATCGTAATACGTCAGAACTCAGCAGTACGGAACATTCAAGCAAGTCCTTGCAGCACATAAAGGCAGTCTCGGTTGCGCGGTTGACAGCACAGCTAGTAGGAATTGGTGAACTTCGAAGGGCAAGAGCTGATTGCACTTTCGTTGTAAAGTGGTACTAAACCTCCGTGACCTTGCATTCGCCAATTCACCCCACCAAGCCCCTAATGAAAATAAATAGGATGGTATACTGGCATGAAGGAAGCCACTACACGAGAAATAAGAGGGCACAAATTCCATACTTCCAGTAGCTTCCCAATTCCTTCTACCAATCTGCTAACATTTTCTGTCCTAGTATTTCAAATTCTGTCTTTGAAATTAACTCCAAGGGTAGTAATGCTTCACCATGGGTACCCATAGCTTATCAAGCACTTTTATTAGTGATTTCAATAATGCTAATCAGCATATCAAAGCAACCAATGTTTCAAATTTGCAACTGCTAAACAGTTTGTGCTTTAAAATATTGCTGTTAAGGCAGTGGAATCGGTTTAAGCAGCGTAAAATATATTTTGAGGAAATTTATGCGTCTTTTACAAATTCGGCTGGTGATTAAATATTCATTGTTAGATTGTTGAAAGCTAGTGTGATTCCTCTCTAACATAGAGAACTTCAAAATTTTGTTCTCATGATACAATTTGAGGTCACTGGCATAGCAATGCTGCCATGCTACCCAGTCCATAATACTCAGCCCACTTCCTACTTTAAGAGGTGTTGAGTGTTCTAAACCTCTCATTTTGGTATCAGATGGAAATTCCAAGCTTCCTTTTGCCTTACATTTGACTACTATGCGAAACAACAAAGGAATATGCCTCGGAGTAATGTCTGCTTAACAAGCATCTGGTAACAGAGAATATGGAAATGCCACCGCTCACCGGATTAGCCTTTGGCTTCTGAAAATTAGCAATGTGCCCTCCGCCATACTCCCATGACTTCTTTCGACTTCCAAGAATGCCCGTAAAGTCAGGACTCGTCAATGTAACTGCAAGTCATTCTAAAAAAGGAACATAAATCCAAAGTCCATCCTAGAAAATTAAGAATAATTTCCAAGGAAATCCAAGGGAGCGCTTTGCTCATACACATATTTTTAAAGTAAATATTAGAAATTATTTTAAACCAAGGGATCGGAAATACAATTTTATATTGTTGAACAATGTGGATGACAGCACGCACGAATACTTCAAAGAACTGCTAAAAGATGCAAAGTAACACAACGTGCAATTTATGTTGTAGTGGCTTCTAGGATTTTCTTCCAGGCCATCTTTTGAAGATACATTTACATGTCAAGCTGTCAGTAATGCAGAGAAAGACTACGCGGTATTCACAGACCAGTCTGCATGTGGTACGAATGAATTGGTTGCCTCCCGCTTGAACAGTTCTGTCCGTAATTAATTTCATATGCGAAACAGACCCAGCCTTTACTTTGGTTGCCCTATTCACTTACTCGAATTCATAAGTGTCACGGAGACAATTTCCTCAATCAAGATCAGAGGGACTATCACTTAAAAAAGCAGAACACATTTCTTTTTGACTAATGTCAGACAACTTTGTAATTGATTCAATGCTGATTTATTTCTGCCTCTTCTGCCTTCCATCAACAGCTTCTGTAATGAAGTCACTGATGAATTTAAACCATCTCAGGTTAATTTTTGAGCAAAGTAAGCAAATATAATCAATTACGTGGTTAGAATGTGCCCCCAAATGCAGTTGCCCTCTTGTGCGGCCTTTTAATGTTCACCTATATTATCCTTGCGTCGTAAGTTATGCCTTAACTTCAAATGTCAAACTAGGCTCATTATCCACAGTCATGATAGCAAAATTGGAAGGGAGAACACGCTTAAGATCCTTAACCCAGTATATTGTTCCATTCAACTTTGACACAACTGTGCAATGCTGGTTTCCAAAATGAGAATAACTGCCTGTTATTCATCATAATGGAGGTAGTTGTGATGGAATTAATACCTAACAGCTCCAAAGGATGGCACGTCTAGTTGAAGGGCTTCGCTTTAACCTAATAGAGTTAAGACACTTTTATTTCGAAGTTGAAAAGATTTTATTGCCATGTCAAAGCTCGCATTTTACCAGAGAGGTGTGACTTACAAAACCATAAAACTTGAAGTAATACTTGCATTCATTAAATTCAGGTCATACTGCACGCAAGAGTTATTTTTTTCTGAATTTTATTTTGCTATTCTAACCACAATTCTCCTTCCTAAACGGACCAGCGGAAGTTTGTCGCCTCTTTGTGAAAGATATAAGGCGGAGCTGTCAACTATTCAGCCAGAGAAACCCGTTTTAATTGGAACTACATGCGCCCTTAATGAGCATGAAAATCCAACCACATATTCTGGCTACATGCCGTAGGGAAAGAGGATAGAAAGTTGAATTATATGACTGTTCTCAGTACCACTTAACAGTAACAACAATAACAGGAGTTACGTTTGTTTAAAGAATGCGTTTACTTTTTATAGCTACCGCAGTCATGATGGCACCTGCTGCACCGAGGGGCCCTGCTTGAGTAGTCACGCTATTGTGGGGCTTATTGTTGTCCGCCTGTGGCTAGGGAATCATTCCTGCTTGAAAAAGCTGCCCGATAGGTTACTCTTCAAAGTCCCTAAACTAAAATTTGAAGTTTTATAGGCTTGAGGATGTCTGTTGAATAGAGGCTCAGTCAAACATTAGCGGACATTTCCTTAAAATGAGATTCAAGTAGAACTGTATATTAATATCCCCGACTGATTAAATACAAGATTGTTGAACAAACTTCTTGTCGTTTCGAGAATCCAATCTTTCAAAATATCTGAAGGTACTTTGCAGGAACTATTATTTCCATTTCAGATGCATTAAAGCGAAATCCCACAAGAATTTGACAGAATACTTCGCCAGGCAAATTGCAAGTGATGTAGGGTTTGTAAGAAAGGCTCCCAGCATCTGGTTTTATTTGAATCTTGATCAAAGCGCTTAAAGTGAAACCGTCGTGATGAAGCACCAGTTTGTTGTCGATGGTGTCGCACTGCTTCAATTCTGCCCAGGATACTGCAAATTCCAGACACCGTAAAATGGAGAGAAGATTTCGTCCTTTATTTCATGTTGACTACACAGCATCCTAGTTCAAGATCCTAAGCGAAATTTGGCTTCGAAGAAATATCCTAATTGTTTGTGTTTGGAAACAGTGCAGTGTTTCTATATTGATATGGCTACATAACCTGAATAAAAACCGACCGCCAAGCCATGAAGTACCCACTTCCGATTACAACGAGACTCCTTTATACGCAAAGCCTGCTCATTTTATTCACTACCTCGTGAAATGAAGCAGTTTGACTTTGGGAGTCACCTTGTCATAAATCGGTTTCGTGATTCACCAAGCATAGGTAACCACTCGAGGTTAACCTTGACCGACAGCTGCCATTTCTTTGAGTAGGAATGATTCAGCAACGCAGTGCTTAAAGAAGCTTTATGAATTGAGAAGAAATGTTTTGCACAATGCGTCTAGAACATGGTGAAACGTAATTCGGGGCCAAATTTGTCATTTCTTAATAGCGGAGTGAATGCAGGATTACAGCCTTAAATGATTTCCTAAAAATCCTTCATTTTTCATTTAAATGCCCATCATCAATACAGCTCATTTTATAATTAGTAATTTCTAATAGTAACCTCTTATTATTTTCTAGTAAAGAGGAGAGCAATTCAAGAGCATTTGTACACAAATCATTTCACCATGCCCCAACATTGTAGCCATGCAACTTTCATTCCAGACGGACCAGAGTTATCGAAAATCCTTCCAATTTAAATCATTTTGAGCGTGGACAAACGCAAATCATACATGTCTGGACTCTCACATTTTACGACCCGTTAGAAATGGAGAGCATCTATTCATATGGATGTCAATGTTTTTTTTTCAAGGGCTGTTTAAATTACTTCTTGGAAGCGTTCTATTCTCCTTGTCATACTTGGGGCTGCTGGTGTTGAAGTACTCGAAATCTGCATTAACACTGAGTTCAGGAGTTGTTACAGGTTTATGATGGGACAAATCAAGTTCACGAATAACTTTTATGCTAGCTAAATTGCAAAAAGGGGCATAAATAAAGTAGTTGAACCGGTGTCCATACAAATAACTACTGGCACATTAACACCCAACACGCTTGTAAGTCCTTCAATATTCCCCACATTTTAGTAATTAGCCTTTTATTTGAGGTTTTGAAATTAAATGAGATGGTTTGAAAGGCGGAGCATGGTTCGTTGGACATCTTCGGTGAGAAAACTACCTAGCGGTGGGAGTTCCCAAAATGACTATGCTTTGTGAGTGGGGATCATAATTAAAATTCCTTCTGATAATAATGAATTGGAAAACACTTATCTAATCAAAAGATTTACTTTTCTTATGGCTGAGACCGTTTCAAAAAGAAATAAAATCCACATTACTACAAATCCAAATACTGAGATATACCCTAGGGAGTTACGGAGAGGTTCAACAAGCGGGTCACGGTTGGAGGAACAAGTGAAAGACAAAGTAATTGACGCATTATAGTTTGGAGGCAGGAGTAAAAGCTGCACTATGAATGGAGGCTTTTGTTGCAGGGCCATCACCCTCTTCTCCACTATTATGCATTCAACATTGTCAGTCTGGATTGTGATGTCCTTCTTCAGAAAATTGATTGCATACACCCCGTCGGTATTCCTGTGTTCCCCTAAAAAACCTGCAAAAACAAACATGAGTGAACTCAGGACACGCTTTATCAGTCACTTTGCTCCATAGAAAATTATTTCTTAGATGTCTTTTCTGCAGTTTTAAGTGCTCATTCTGTTAAGATACAAATTATCTAAAATGACGCCCATGGCAAGGGTTTTGACAGTCCGCCCTAAACCAACATCTTCTAGAGTAGAAAAACCTCCCACCTTTCGACTCTTCCTTTTACAAGAACTTGGAAGATCTCGAAATCTGCGACTTGAAGGGTATCCTGTTTGCTCTGTATACTGTTGTCGTCCCTACCTGGGTTGGATTCAGTGAGACCCTAGGCTCATAAATAAGCTTAAAGATAATTTTTAACTGACAAATACTTTTTAAAAAGAAAATAATTTCAGTAAAACAGCAACTTACCCAAAGCAATTTTTTTTGAAGAAATGGTGCTAAACGCGTTTTTTAAATAGGCCTTTGAGCAAAATATGACTAGTTTAGAGGATTAATTTGCCCCCAAATTGTAGCATTATGGTTTTTGCCGTTCAAAAAGCACTTAGAATTTGCGTAAATTAATTTGTTTCGGGGATCAAGGTCAGTGGAAACAGTATGGAAGTACTGCTGAAGTGAGTTCTTAACCTATCAACAGCACATCAATTACTCACCATGTTTGGTTCGGTCACCGATACTTCAGATTTGCTGCTTTGTATTAGCATAAGCTACCAACAGACTGCTCCGCATCTTAACCATACCCCTGGGTTCTTTTTAGGGGGAGATGCGTGTTGCTCGACCATAGCGAAAACTGTAAATACAAGACTCGCGGTCATATTTTCGGAAGGGACCTGCATCTCATCGTATGTTGACCCATTGATGTGTGTACACGGTCTTCCGACTAACCTCAGAGGCGTCCATCGTGCATCCCTTGCACCTACTCAAATGTAATATTTTGCATGGATGTATTTCTCCAAAGAGTGTCATTCCATGAGTTTCAAATGGTCATCATGCGTCCTCTCCTGTTTGCTTCTTAGAGCCCCCTGTACATAATCAGCGCAACTGATCCCCTGAGACGAGTTGCTGACGAACCTAGTGCGCTTCAGTCCTCACACTTAGTGCATTTTACAACTGATTTTTAGGGAAGAAACGGTAAAGGTAGCCCAAGTCCGTAATACAAGGCAAAAAAATTCTTATGATGATACGTCATATATTTGTACTTGCAATAGATGTTAAGTCCAAAACTAACAAGAAATACTTGTGAATGGGTAGAGGTTGGCCTCAAAGTGATTCTGTAGGCGTATTTAAACCTGCCCTGAATGTTGATAAATAATATGTTGGGAATTGCACCTCAGTCTAGGTCGTCAAATTGTGGGAAAATTCATCTTGGTGTTTTGTGAAACATCTGATGTAACACAAAGGCTTAACTGCTATTATCTTCATTTCAAAAACTGTAGCATCATAGGGCAGACTGTTGATTACTTCTAGTCACATTACCTTTTTCTTCCTTTTATCGTCTGCCACGGTTACATTATCAGTGGTTTGTTGAGTAAATGTTTTCCTTTAATAATTCTGTCTCACTAATAAAGAGACTTAGGGTGTGTTAGCATTCTAAGATAAGGATTACTCTATTCAATGGCTAGTAGAACAGCTTTTAGGATATAACCGAGATAAAGGATTTTATTGAAGCTGATTGTTGAAGGTGAAAGTGTTGTGGTAAATTTTATGACCTAATAAATGTGAGAATTTGATTTTATGGTGATACTCTACGTGAATTCGAGCTTGGTGTCAGTGTTTTAAGTAATCTACTGGGGAGTTTGCTCCAGTGAGGGGGGATTAAATTGTGCGATAATGCATCCTGATTCATCATAAAATAGCCGATGCAATCTAAAGGCTCAATTGTCATTTTATCCTCTCATAAACTGTGGAATCGCAGCGCAGACACTTGTTTACTTGTAGTCCAAGTACTTTTCCCTGCTATTCACCGCCTGTCACATCAGCATTGTAAATGGTTTGTTGACCTAAGTACATGTTCATCGTCAGTTGTGCTAATGCATAGCATTAGGATGTGGCACCAACCGAAAACAAGAAATTTTTCATTCAATGTCTGGTAAAATACCTTTAAATGCATTGAGAAGGCAAAGAATTTTGTGCAAAACTTCCAGACTACACCTTGCTTGCAAAAGGATAATCCTTTAAGGCAACTTATTTTAAAAGGTTCCTAATTGAATGTTTTGCTTCAGATGCCTCTTAGTTGTAGTTTGTGGATCAGTCATTCAAAGGGTTTCTCTAGAAGTAAACATCGTATTAATGCAAAGTTCAAGGCCTGACGTTGCAATTATGGTGTCATATGAGTGTGAAGCGAGCGAAACCGTTAAAAGCAACTTCTTCCAAGAGGCATCCTTCTCACCTCTGATGTATCGCTTGAGCCACCATAATTGTTGTGTTGGGTAAACCATCGTCAGCGTGACTTTATGGGTCGAGGTCCTGTGCGTGTCCTTAGGGTATATGCCCTCCTGCAAATCTGTAATAGGTTATTGCGAAACGCTTAATTGACCCTTTTCGAGCAAGGCTTTGAAAAGGGCAGATGATTGTCCAAATTTGAAATTGATTATACCCAGAGGATTCTAATGGTTCTCTAGTATTAACTACCTCAGGGCCATCAAATTGAGGGTTCCACAGAGGGTTGGCTTTTTATTCATCGCCTCAGCTCTGTCCTTCCACAGTCCCAAATCGGCCAATTCACAAGGCCTTCAGAAGTGGAGAAGCGTGCCGCGCAGTTTTGGGTCTCTACAAGTCGAAGATGCCATATTTGGAGCCAAAATTGTACTGATGCACTAAAATTCATTTAAGTTCGCGATAGTTTCCTCGGAAAAAAACACAAATTCATCTGGTATAATGACAAAATTTTTAATTATTGCAACCAGCATAAAGTGGCCTCACTCTTTGAGGAAACGACAAGGTAGAGTTTTGCCTCCAAAAAAGGGTGATAATTGCGGTTCTATAAGAAGCGTTAAAGCTATTCTGTTACTACCGAATAACTCCAAAATGCAAGATCCTAAACGCATCCTACTCCACCTTTCTTTCCATTTTTTAACTACATTCATTTGAATCCCTCACTCAAGTTAATTTACCATGTCTAGACTGAGCAGTTGTTTATCGCTTTTTGTGATGCCCAAGTATTGGCTGTTTAAGCAGTCCTTCAAAATAAATTTAGTACTATTTCTAGTTGCCATGCGCTGCCACACTTACATTGTCGTCAATGGAAGTTTTGACCAAGACTTGTCAGAAAATAACTTTTAAGACAGGCAAAGTGAGGTGCTGTCATTTTACTGTTAGAATAATTTAACGTTTCAAGCCTTTCTTTACTCTAAATTGCTGGAAAATTTGTACCTTATTCTGCAGAGGAGATTGCTTATTTAGATAGAAAGGCAATGCTGCGTCATACAGTTAGGCTTGAGAAAAAATATGTCATTACGGTGATTGGTACTGACCCGACTACTTCAAAATTAGTGACGTTTAATAAAATACCAGCTTTACACACTGATTCCAGTAAATCTACCTTGTGCACAATAACATACCAAGAAGCATTTTGGGATGGCAAGGGAGGACATGTTCCATAGTAAAGTGATAGAAGATGTGCTACCTTATGTGGAAGGAAAAGTTTAATCAAAAAAGCCTTTTCAAAAGCATAAAGGGTTAGTTGCAGAAATACCAAATTAGAAATAAACTGATTCAGGTGGCGATGGGCTGATTAGACTTGCCAACAAGTTGAATCCGGTGCATCAGTTGGCCCTGCAGTGTGAATGAGCTCCATGACGAAGAATAATTGGTTCTTCAAAAGTGTCACTGGGGTGCCACTCATTTGAGTGACAATATTATCAGATAATGTCAATGAGGCGTCTCAAATCGAATCGTGAGGCAAACATCAGCACTCCTGCCCCAAGCGTTGAGTTTGGTTTCGTAGCAGTTCCAAAGTGTATGCTCACTGTCTTAGTAGATACTAGCAGTTCATCTTTAAATTTACTTCAAAAAGCATAATACATTTATTAAATCATACAACTCGGCACATTTTGCAAACTTCACTGGTAAAATAGACACAGGTTACAATCTTTTAGAGGACTTTGCAATCTTAAAATACTTGCACGTAATATACGAAATCACTAGACTATCCACTGTACTGCCTCTGGGTACTTCAATGAGTTAACGGAGTTTGCTATAAGTTCTCCAAAGGCACTAAAATTACGGCAGTTGGGAACCCAGACAAGTTGGGTTTGGAATGCCAAGTGTCTGACAATTTGGGGGCCGCATAATTTTTGCTGATTATATGCTCTTGTACTTGGATCGTTCTACTCTCCATTTAAACTGCGCGGACACCTAAGGCACCTCCTTTGCAGTTTTGCTTGCCAGCATTGCCCTTATCTTCTGTACATCAGTAATTTGCCCTCCGCCATACTCCTACGACTTCTGACTTCTGAGGAGGTCCAAAAATCATGATTAGTAAATGTTACTCTAGGTCATTGTCAAAGATGCCAGTTAAGAATAATTTGCAGCAAGATTCTAAAGAGCCCTTTGAGCAAAAAATACCTACATTTGAAGAAAACTTTGATCCAAATCCATCGTAAATGACCAGCCAGCACTTGGAAATCAGCACAAAGAATCATTTTACAGAACCCTTAGAAGTGTACAGTACAACAATTGCCAATTTATGCTGTGAAGTTTTCCAGGATTTCCTTCCAGTCCCACCTTTAGTGAAAACTTTTCATGTCATTTTGCCATAACATAACTAAACAACGCTGATTTCCAGGGTGAGAACCACTGACTGTCAGTATTCATCACAAAGGAGGTAGCCAGGCAGAAATTAATCTCCAAAAGCTGCAGAGAATAGCGGGTCTAACTGAAAAGTTTGGCTGAAACATACTGGATTCAAGTCACTTTTGTCTAAATTTAAAAGATTTTATCACCGTGTTAAGGCTCGCAATTTTTCACCTAGACACGACTAACAAAACCGTGAAAAAATTGGAGCGATGCTTGCATTTATCAACATTAGGTTTTTCGCGGGTAAGTGTTATTCATTTCGGTTCCATCAACCGCTTTTCGCCATCATAATAACTTTGAAATACTTGGATTGTAATGCAGTAGGCGCTATTCATTACAGGCTAATGGAAGTATGTCCAGTTTTGATCTTGCCGTTGACACCGCAGTTGATGCAAAACAGGGATGACTGTTAACTGTTCGGAACTGAAAATTGTGTGATAAATGTTGATTTGGCTTATAAAGTTGTATCTCACCTAAAAACAGGAAAACTGATCTATCATTTGCAATAAGGACTACTGTTTAAAATAACAAAACCTTGATGCGATAATGCGATCGTACTTGCTACCCTTTGGAGACAATATGGAAGAAAGAAGGAGTTTCCCTAAGGATGGTTAGAAATTGATCTTCCTCATCTTCTCCCAAAACAGTGGACAGACTAAAACACATTAGACATAATTTGCCCCTGCAGCAAATGCAGCAACAAAATCAGCCTTCCAAGAGCCTGCATCTTGTTGCGAAATGTGACATGTGAAGATATGACATCCACCAGTTTAGTGTTTAATTGAGTGAATGCTTAGCTAAGTGAACTCTTTAGGCCTCGTGGCTTAGGCAGTTGTCCTGAAAATTAATCGTGATAAGTGTCTAACCCCACTGCGGTGACCTGTTGCCACTTCAGAAAAGATCTGGGAATGCTGTTGTTTGCGAGAAATGATCCCAAAATAATGCAGAAAGCTGCTTTATTGCAAAGTGGCATACTTCCTAACTACCTTATTTTGCAACATCTAAGAATGATATTGTGATACTCTGGTTGTCTGCCTGACTCTTCAATTTAATTACGCGGTCATCGTGGGCTTCACCGTTGCAAATCTACTCTGTAAGCTGACCTTCGGGCCATGCCAATAGCCTCTCAAGTTATTTTGTAGGTCTGCAATGCCCGATCTGCCCCGGTA